TCTCATGTAAAGTAAACATTAAGTCTGTTTTGATTTTGCTGCCTAAATGCTATTATTTATTAGAAAAAAACTTTGATTTTGTTGTCAATATTTTTCTTGAAAACCTTGTACAAAGTTTTACAAAAAAAAGGTAAAATATTAAAATGGTTTTGAGAGCAAAACAAATTTAAAAAAAGGCATATAAGAAGCTGACATAACTAAAATTGAAAAAAATTGTTGGTGTAGAAATAAATAAAAATAAGAATATCTAACTAATGGTAAAACAATAAAGAATTTAACTTGGCACTTGTCCAGCAAATATTTGTTTACGTTGCATAAAAAAAAGAAAACAAAGTTTCTTTATATTTACAATTATAGCAAGCATCAACGTTGTGCTATTATTCTAAAAATTGACAAAAATACAGATGTATTATAGCCGCATACGAGATAAAAAGCTTGAATAGAATTTTGTTTTCACCATTTTCGCGTAAAAAGCGAGTCATTGTGAATATTTGGAATTTATCGCCTATTTTGTCCTGAATTTTCTCAGTCGGGCTCGTTTTTTGTTGGAATTGCAGCACCGACAATTGTCTGAGCCAGCCCATTTTCGGATTCTTGACCTCGATCTAAAATTCGGCAATTTTTTCCTGACTGGGTTAACAGAATCGGCAATCTTAGGGTAAAGATTGTCGACTGAAAACGTCACTTGTTCCTCGACTTTCCCTCTTTTATCTTCAAAGTCGCGCGAGTAAGCCCGTTGTGTTCCTCTCGTTTTGTTTTCCCGCCATTTTTAGTGCATGGGCGCTTCAGCGCATCTCTAAGCAGATCCTCCGAACCATCATTAGAAGAAGAATTACGCGGACTTAAACATGTCTGAGAGAAGTCTTTCCATCGGAATGTTATCAAGGGTCCCACGGAAAAACATCTGTTCGATGCATTTCGATGACAGCACACGTAACGAAGGAAGCATGAGCAGTAATCTTCCAAAACGAACTTGTTGCCCGGGGTAACTCTGACGGTCATATTCTCCCAGCATGCTTTGCGCTTGATCCTGAAGTTGTTCCACATGATGAGGTGCGCGAAGTCCTCTCGTGTCTGCAAGTAACATATAACGAAGTTGCAATTAGCAAATTTTCGTACACAAAAAATATTGATCATTCTTCACTTTCATCTACAACCGCAGTTCATATATGAATTATTTCATATAAACTTCACATTAGTCACTTTTTGTTTATGTATCTACCTTGTTAAGCCTTTTATTGAACTAGTTTATCCTGAAATGAAGTGACACATTTGTTAAACTGAATGTAGAATGATAACAACTTTATCACAGCAAATCTTACCATTTTTAAATCCCTACTTGCCATAGTTTTCTTAGCCCCAAAATCACGATAATTTGCAACCCTCAATTAAGAAACTCTACTGGAATACAACCCCATTATAGTCAATTCACTTGTGAAAATGCGACCCCATCTAGCGGCGCACCCCTATTATCCCATTACTAGGGGGTACCCTGCTCCACTCCCTTCCCCGGGCATATAGTTGGTTGGGTGCATCTCCTGAAGCCATGAAATGTGCAAAATTTCTTCGCAGATAAGGCGTTTGATGTTAAAGACATTAAAATCGCTATAGCCCTTCTTCGTCCCTCATTTTCTTAATTATATTTCTTAGAGTCAAAGAAACGCTCGAGAAACGCTTGAACCGGTCAAAATGACTGCAGAACATTTTTTGTTTATAATGTTTATTACCAGAGTTTTTTAAATTCTACATATATACAAAAGTGCTTCTCAGCCATTGAGCTTCCAGCGCTTTTCATCGAAATTATGATCAGTCAAACTTAAATGGACTTGATGGATGCCACTTCGGACCATATCTACTTTTTCAAGATGGCGTGCAATTCTAGCAGTCATCAATGTCCGAGTAAAGGCCTGGGGCTAAGTTGGTTTCTAATCTACCGGTGCCTTTAAAATTCCCGGCAAAAAACCCTTTCACGGTTTCTGACGCCATCTTGCTGGGGGCGGGCAAACACAGCAAGAATTGCAGTAAATGTATAGGAAAAGTTAAAAGCTCGATGCCCAATAAGTTGAGAGTGATTGCCTTTGTGAGTGTTTTATGAGTTACAAGGATACAGATACCCAGCTGAAGGCTTGTTGGGTCAAATTTGAAGATATAGATTCGCTGTGAGGCGAGGAATTTTACTTTTAAATTTCATACAAATGTCTCTAATTTTTTCCGCGAATTGCGAATCGGTTTAACAGGCAAATGTGTAGAAAAATGAAAACCTTAATTGTGGCTTTTCTTAGCGAGGCTATTTCCCTCAAATGCGATCAGTAAATTCTTTTACCTAGTATGTTTGGTTTGTAACTCACAAATACTTCAGAACTCGAATTTCACGTGAGTTGTTTATACACATAAGATTCTGGATTTTTCCCATACGTTTACTGCAATTTTTCCCGTCTTTGCTCCCACCCCCCAACAAGATAGCGTCGGAAACCGTGAAAAGAGCTATAACGAAACAACTATTCGAGCTACAATTTCAACATCTATCAGACTGTGACTTATCGATCTATTCTCTAATTCCAGCTTTTCTTTATAGCATTGATACGAAGTGTGTAAATCTTAACTTCGTTCGAGAGCTCATCGCAAAAGTTCGCCTTTGTTCGCCATCTTGAAAATAAAGTTGTGTGTTGTCAGCTGCAATCCGTTCCTTTGTTTAACGACTAGATGTTATTTATATTCTTTGCATTTCATCTCATGTAAAGTAAACATTAAGTCTGTTTTGATTTTGCTGCCTAAATGCTATTATTTATTAGAAAAAAACTTTGATTTTGTTGTCAATATTTTTCTTGAAAACCTTGTACAAAGTTTTACAAAAAAAAGGTAAAATATTAAAATGGTTTTGAGAGCAAAACAAATTTAAAAAAAGGCATATAAGAAGCTGACATAACTAAAATTGAAAAAAATTGTTGGTGTAGAAATAAATAAAAATAAGAATATCTAACTAATGGTAAAACAATAAAGAATTTAACTTGGCACTTGTCCAGCAAATATTTGTTTACGTTGCATAAAAAAAAGAAAACAAAGTTTCTTTATATTTACAATTATAGCAAGCATCAACGTTGTGCTATTATTCTAAAAATTGACAAAAATACAGATGTATTATAGCCGCATACGAGATAAAAAGCTTGAATAGAATTTTGTTTTCACCATTTTCGCGTAAAAAGCGAGTCATTGTGAATATTTGGAATTTATCGCCTATTTTGTCCTGAATTTTCTCAGTCGGGCTCGTTTTTTGTTGGAATTGCAGCACCGACAATTGTCTGAGCCAGCCCATTTTCGGATTCTTGACCTCGATCTAAAATTCGGCAATTTTTTCCTGACTGGGTTAACAGAATCGGCAATCTTAGGGTAAAGATTGTCGACTGAAAACGTCACTTGTTCCTCGACTTTCCCTCTTTTATCTTCAAAGTCGCGCGAGTAAGCCCGTTGTGTTCCTCTCGTTTTGTTTTCCCGCCATTTTTAGTGCATGGGCGCTTCAGCGCATCTCTAAGCAGATCCTCCGAACCATCATTAGAAGAAGAATTACGCGGACTTAAACATGTCTGAGAGAAGTCTTTCCATCGGAATGTTATCAAGGGTCCCACGGAAAAACATCTGTTCGATGCATTTCGATGACAGCACACGTAACGAAGGAAGCATGAGCAGTAATCTTCCAAAACGAACTTGTTGCCCGGGGTAACTCTGACGGTCATATTCTCCCAGCATGCTTTGCGCTTGATCCTGAAGTTGTTCCACATGATGAGGTGCGCGAAGTCCTCTCGTGTCTGCAAGTAACATATAACGAAGTTGCAATTAGCAAATTTTCGTACACAAAAAATAGGAAACATGTTTCTATCGAGTTTTAGTATAAATCTTCTAGCGTTCTGTCACGAATGCCATTCTCTGATTGGCGACGCTTCTCACCATCTATTCTGTGATAGATGGTGAGTAGCGTAGCAGTGTGCCCTTGTTTACAAAAAGACGGCCGCTTCTTGGCGTTTTCGAAGTGTCTGTGAAAAGGATTTAGATAAAGTTTTGAACGACTAGTAGATTTATACTAGAACAATTAGATTATTCGCTCTCGATTTCTATGCGTGATAGTTGAGTCGCGCGATAGAAATCTCGAGCTCATAATCTAATTGTTTAATGAAAACACGAGGTTTAATCACTCAGCACGCGTATTATCTAAAGTTTTTGTTTGAAAATCTCATAACATACCTGGCTTAAAGAGGACAATGGCTTTCAAGCATGCGTACTCCGTTTGATCAATATTGGCAGCTCTGAACCTCTCCACAATGTTTTTCAATGCTTTTATATCTCCCATCCCACAGAGATTCTTGTCCGAGGTTTCCCGCTCCGGATGTAGTCCCGCTGCGGCGAGCAAAGTGCTCATCTCCACAGGCAAATTCCACTGCGCGATGCTGAGTATAAACAACTCGCTCCAGCCCTCTTCGAGCAAGATCGCTTGGTCACGGAAAGGAAGGTCAAAGAATGTCGGGATGTTACGAACCCATTTCACTGTCATGAATAGAATGCGCACAGCGGACTCGTGCAACATTTCCGGCGTGCTGAGGTACATGATTGGATAACGGATCTGTTGCCCATGCTGTGGGGTGTGCGGGGGGGTCATTGCAGTTGCTACAGAGACGGGTACCGGAACTTCCTTAGGGCTTTCCGGGTCGCCATATCCCATAAGGAATGCACTTTTGTGTTCCACCGGAAATCTGGGAGAACTATTACCGCAGAAAACAGGCTCCGGTGTTGTGGGCGAATCCAGGAGTTTTTCTTTCTTAGGTGTAACACGGATCTGGCCGGGTGGCAAGTCGAGGTTTTCTGCTTCATAGCTGCTATGTTTTCGCTTCAAAGGCTTGCATCGAACCTCATCGTTTCCAACCTGTTTGAACTGATTGGTGCGTGGGGCTCGTTCATGCTGCACGGCTGAAAAACACAGAATCACAATACATTCAAGCCCCGTCCACACCATTTGAAAACGAAGCTTTATTTCTACGGTTAGGCCTACCGTCCACAATAAATCGTCACGAAAACGGAGCTTTTCGAAAACGCCCTTCGAAACGGAGGAATTTGAAAATGCCGGATTTTTGTTTTCGTGCGCCACAGAAAACATTTTGAAAACGATGACCTTGCGATAATCGTGCGATTTCCCTGCCTGAGTCTTTTTCAAACACGAATCCAAAATGACCGTTGATTGCTGCGTTTTTAAATTCCTCTGGTGTAGTGTGGACAGAAAACATTTGATGCGTTTTTAGAGTGAAACTTCTGTTTTCAAATTCCTCCGGCGTAGTGTGGATATACCAGTTGAAAAATTAAATCGTCAAAAGAGCCGACCGCCTCTTAATTTTAATTTTGACAGTGATTATATAATTCCAAATACAAAGAGAGTCTTTGGCAGCTTAAAGTTTGTATAACACTGTCTTCTTAATACAAGGAGTCAGAGGATAACATAATTCTTTACTAATGACATGAATTGACATTTGAATTTTTTTTAAGCCACGTTTTATTAAAAGTGGTTTTTCAGGCAATTAGAACAGTACTCCCAATGTTTGAAGGATACTATTGTGCTTGGCTGTCTCAATGTAATAACAGTTAGGCATGACATTGATTTTGTTGACTCAACATCGAATAACTAACTTTTCGACGCGGATTACGCCGTAGAAAAATAACTTATTAATGATTAAGCGCGGGTGGCACAAATAAGCCCTAATTGGTCTTAATAGCAGCAACAAGGGGCGACGTCACAATGTAAAACCTGTTTTTGTACAAGGGCCCCAGGGGTTCAGCAATTGTGTATGCCAATAATAATGGGCCTATAGTCATTTCAGCTGCCGTTCGTAGAGATAACAATTTAGCTCAGTTTGATTGGTTGGTTTATTGTGAGGTTGATACCTTGGCTTGAAGACCTTCTATTCGTTAGATACCGAGAGCATTGAAATGTTTTTGTTTTGGTCTAATCCATTTCTAAATTCCACCAGACAGTATTGATCTTAGGAGGGAAAAATAACTTCTCCAAGCTCGTCTTCTTTAATTACTTCATTCAGTAATGAACTGACATCTTGTTCAAGATGATTTGTTTGCTCTATTGTCGCTGATGTCTTCAAGGAACTGGTTCACTTAATTTTACGTGACTTATGTCTGCTTTAATGGGCCATAAGTGGGCAGTAACAAAGAAACGGATGTTTTTACAAGCTGTAGAGAAACAATGCATCACTGCAAAGGAGTTACGCCTTGCATTCCCACGCATGGCCGTGTTTGATTAGCTATTTTGCATCAATTTAACTCCCTTTTAGTCTTTACTTCACGGCTATTTTTCAATGGGTTATTGTTTGCCTTGTCGTTAGAAAGAAACCCTGCCTCACCGTAACGTTTACCTGAGGGCTGGGCTAAAATCCAAATGTATAACGTCCAATGCATGCAGCGAACCAATTCTTTTAGAGACAACACAGTCCACCTTTCCGAGCAGATAAACGTGACGCACAGTTTACAGACGCCGAAGGAAACAAAATCAATAGAGTATTTCATTACGTGTGTCTACAATGCGAAGTGAGGTTTTTCATTGCAAGTAGGGTAGGAACTTTTAGGTGAAACTTTCAGCACAGCCGAAAGTGGTTACTAGATGGAAAACAAAAGAGCGGGTATTCTTTCAGCGTGCACTAAGTAAAACGTCTAATACGCAACTTCTTTATCATTTTGTATAGGATTTGTTTGTGTTCGGTCTTTTAAACACAGGAATGAATTATTAATCCCTGGGGTTCCATACGCGCCTATTTTGCATAAGAGAGCTTCGTGCAGGGCTTTTCAAGAAAACTGGCTGCTTTTCGTTCTAAACCAATTGACCGTATCGATGTTTTTGTCATTAAAACGACCATAGACCGGGGTTGCTGTGAAGAAGGCGACAGCCCTTGTAAAGCTAGCTTCGCTCTTCGGCTTAGGTCCCGAGTAGTACACTTAATAAATAATAAATAACATTATTTCAGCGATGGGCAAATCTTTTTCTGTTGGCTCGGTAATTTGTAAGTCCGAAGAAAATTACGTTGAAAAGAAGGAAGGAGGAGTAGAAAAAAAGACAACATGTAAACAGTAATTAATGGGCCGTCTCTAGAGCTGGGCTAGTAATCGCCGCGAGGTATTTTTTATATTTGGAATATTAGATTGAGACAAGTTGTTAGGTCAGATATTGTTCAAGAAGCTCGACAAAATAAACAAAATTGTGTCTCAACCGCTTTTAAATTACTGTTTGTATCCAAAGCAACCCAGCCTCGCAGAGCGGAAATCGCACAAAGATTATAACTATAAAAATCGTTACAATCATACTGGTCCCCGCTGATCATTCAGAATTCATTAAAACCATTTTGATCTGGCAGTTCCTTACTTCGGGACAAAATTTACATCGGAGATGAAAGCTGAAGATGTAAAGCGCGTAAGAAATTTTCCCTTGTTTGTAGTTTGATGTTAGGACGAGAGGATTTGGCCTTGCAACCGTGAAAAGAACTATTTCCAGTGCAAGTTGGCGGATTTGTATGGGAAGCACATTTTTTTGGGTGAGCCCAAATCTTGTATTTTTGAACAGGTGGTCTCAGCAGGTAGCTGCAATCCTTAAACACAAAACACTGGAAATAAAACGAGCAAAGGCTTTGAAATGTCTGTTGAAACTGTTAAGAATATATAAAAATCATACTGGCTGCAGATCGGAGACAAAGCGCGATTACAGTTTTGCTATGTTGTGTCTCCATTTGAGAAGACAATACGTGGTTAATGGTAATTCTTAAACGCAAATCAATATGTCTGGTTTAAATTTGATATTAAATGAAACATGTTTACTTAAAAAAAGAACGAAACGTAAGAAGAAAATTCTATACAATTATAAGCTTACCGTCTCTGTTCATTCGAACTTCGAAACATTTCTTCAATCGGCAGGCCTGACATTGGTTACGCCTCGCGACGTCAATGGGGCAGGAGTTGCTTTCTTTGCACTGATAAGCCAGGTCTCGTCGAATGCTTCGCTTGAAAAAGCCTCGGCAACCATCACATGTCAGCACGCCGTAATGCTTTCCAGAAGCTCTGTCTCCACAAACTTTGCACAAGACAGTTTGCTTGACTTCTGCAAATGGAAAATTTAAAAGGATTCGTTAATTCTATACTGAGTGAGATGACTTTTCGACTTTAACGATTCCGTAGATTAGCTTTGTTTGCGGCACGCGCGCGCTCGGGCGAGCGAGCTCAATTTAAATGAATCTCCCCTTTTGATCGCATTCGACGTTTATTAGCTTTTCTTGGGGCAATTTGTCCGGGATGTTAAACTCTGTTACATGGAACGTTTTCTTTTCCAATGTAAACAATTTATCGTAATGAAATTTGTTTGATTAAGGCGTAGCCTTACCTGACATTGAAGTCTCAGGTATATTATTACATCCAATAAATTTGAAATTTGTGATTGAGCAACTTAAGTGATTGGGTTACTCAAGCAAAACTCCCAGGGCATTAAATATTTGCTAAGCGTTTAACCGTTCCTGTTTACTTCAGGTCAAAATCCTTGCAGCTTTTTCAGAACCAAGAGCTACATGCATAGAAAGTTACGGGTCATTTTTCCAGTATTTTATCTCACCTGATCGTCCGCGTCTCGCTGCAAGTACGTCTGTATCAGTCATAATTCTGCAGTGTTAAAAGCTCTTCCTTCGGAACTGCGCAGATTCTTAAGGACTGCGGAAAGGATCTCAATGGCTGTGCACCGTTTTATGATCAGGGAGTTTCTGAGCTGACAGGATCTTCTTCGGCAAGTTGGTGGCGAAATATGTACTTGCTGGTCCCGAACAGGTGCATAAAGAAGGCTGGCTCTGATTGGCTAGCGGTCAGGGTGATGGAATCTGATTGGAGCAGAACTGATCTCGGACTCGCATGGCTAACCACCTAATTAAATTACTTTCTTTTAAATGGTTTAAGCGATCCTTTGCCGCTGAAGCGAGCATTCTCTCAGCAACTGATTAATGGGAGGGTCGAGCATGTGTGTGTTTACACGGTGTTTAGACAAGAACAATGACTTTCACGTCGTGTTTCGATCCACCGGAATTAGAACTGTGCTAAAACTAAATACCGCGACTCTTTGAATGAGGAGGGATCTCATTTTAAGCCCCGTTGCTATGGCATTTATCGTGCAATCGCCAAAAATGAATCACGCTTCAACTGCAAAATGGTTATTGAGAGCACGAGAGTCGCGCACTTCCATTCGTCAGTATTTTCATTGTAATACCTATAGATATCTCGCAGATGGATCCTACAGGTCGTCCGGTTAATGACTCTTGCTTCCAAGCACGTGGATCTAGTCATTCTAAATAAGCGCATTTTATGCCTCAGTTCGCCTTTTAGTTATCCTTTGTTCTAGCAATGATCAGATGCAAAGATATTTTTTGTATGCCTTTCTGTGTATGCACTGCCTCGTGCCTGACTAAACCAGTGAAAAGGTTATCTGCTCAAGAGGTCCACCGAAGCTTTTCTAATCTTGTCACACCCAGAGTTAATAACGTGTATGTAACTATCTAAGTCTGAATAAAATCTTAATGTGAGATCATTCAGCGGAAAGCGAAGTTAAAAAAGAAAAAATTGAGAAAGATTTCCATTTTGGCTTTTATATTTTGCACACTTGATTCATTTTGTCATGAATTTGTTTTCGAATGCGACCTTGGACCCATTTAGCTCGACGACCGCCAAATTAACTTGACAAAGTCTCAAGGGAGATATTTAAAATTCACGTTTTTGTGATGGAAATTTGCTAAGTAACTTTGGTTAAAAATCCCTTCTGTCGAGTGGATCCATTGATCTTCCGCTCTTGACAGTTTCGGGAAGTTAGAAATTAAAAAAAAAAAAACGTTTTGGGCATCGATAAACATGGAGTTGCCCAGCACAACGTATTGTAACCCGCTGTTAAATTACATTGATTACTGAAGGGAGTAAGTTTACTTAAGATGTCTGTAGACGGTTTCAAAGGAAACAAAACAATGAAATACCTGTGGTAGCGAGGTTTTTACAAGCAAACCGTGAAATAGGCAAGACATCTGTGTTTCTTGGGAACACGCCCACACGAAATAGTTCATAATGTTTAGCTCAAACAATTACGATCTAAAATGGAATCGTTTCCGTGAAAACAATTGCGATTTTAGTCGAACTTAACATTCATCAATTAACGCCCAAAAGGACTCTGATAGGATTCTTTTTTAGAAGTTTGCGGTTTTAACTTATTGCATTTTTACAAGTTTACTCAGGCGATATAGCGATATTAATGCGTGTTTGCTTTACGATATTGTCCTCTCGGACTCAGCATGAGTGATGTCATATCTACACATGACTGATATCCCACTAGGAGGAGATAAAAGCTATGATTACAGCTATTCTGAAGCACGTATTTAACTCCACGGTCTTCAAATCGAAATATCAACTCTCCTTGTTGATCGCTCCAAACCTTAAGGGCATTTCGGAAAATTTGATGGTGCATTGAAGCTGATCACATTCAAAATTTTTTGTCACCTAACGCTGAAACGACAAATGAATTGTTGATCTTTCTTGTGAGGCGGAGGTTTAACCTTAAAAAAATGAAGATCCACCAGCTTCTGGCGTCGCAAGTCTTTTTAACTTGGATTCAATTGCTTCTATGAAATTTTTCAGAATCTTTTATTGGTATTATTGTAGTTTCACTTCATTGCATGCCATAACGTTTATTCAGGCGTTGTCTATCCAGCCATGAGGTGATGTTTTAAAAGTGTCAAAATGTTTGCTTAACAATTGTCTCTTAGGAGGTAATAACGTTGTTAAATTTCGCACCAGCGAAGAAATGATGGTAAAAGTTATTTGACGGAATTTTCTACGCTCTATCAACGTAATTCTGTCGATTCAGATGCTAGTTTCGGGTTGGCTGTCAGAAATTCAGGCCTCCAATCTTTGCCATATTTATTGCGTTAAGTGAATTCTTTAGTCCAACTAAGAAGGTGATAAATTAATTTAAAAACCATCAGCGGCCTAGTAACTATTGTTTGTCAATTCAGTAGTTATTGCGAAGCTGATCTGAGAAATCGCCGCTCTCTGAAAGGAAACTTTAGTTTGGGGAAAAGAGAATTACCGATGTCTTTAATCAGTAATTCATTTTTTCGTAGTTTTATTCTGCTTAGGACCTGTATTCGAGCAAACTCCATAACTTTACCTCATTGTAAAATAAAACATACATGGAATAAATAAATAAAAACCAGGTTGGAATTAAGGGACAATAACCAGGTAGTGTCGCAGCTTTGATTAAGACATCAAATAATTCTTATTAACTAACTTTGAATTACAACAGGGGGGCTTAATAGTTACAGAGGCGCCACTGAGAAACAAACATTGACGAATTCGTCTCTCACTGAACACTGTTTTGTTAGTTTCTATAGAGAGCCCTTCCGTCGCGAAAGCTAGCTCAATTTTGACAGTAATAGGGTGTATGGAGTCAAGTGACTTGGCGTTTCTCAGTTTCTCAAAGTGGAGAAATTAATCAAATGTTTCGTCCCATTTGTCCACGAGGCCAGTGGCACACATTATTGACCGCACGTGTAAGTATTTTCCGTGCGACATGCCTTGCAGGTCACGTTTTGTTATTCAGGAAAATATGAGAGAACCGAACAAACAAGAAGACACAATGGCAATCACGAGGAGATCAAAATTTTTACGTTTGTTACGAAACGTTTGACTGGAAACATAAGTCTCACATTCCCTCAGTGTACGTGCTGTACTATTGTAACTCGCTGGAGTTATTTTCTAACCGATCACTGCTGGATGTCGAAGCTCAGTTCTTGGACAAACAATCGCTTTACCTGCAAACCAGNAGCGACTGTAAAACGGCCTTAGACGGCTGATGCTTGAAACCCGTGGGGGAGGGGGACTCCTATATGAAAAGGTCGGGGATGCTCCTCGTCTCGCTTAGGGGTATAAATCAAGGATTTCGGTCTTACTTAGGATGTTCATGACGAAACGCCACTATTTTTAGCTGGCATAGTATCTTTTATGGTGCACTCGAAGAAATAACAATGTAAAAAACACTCTTATCTCCGTTTTTATGCTCGATTTCCGCCGTCCCGTCTCACAAGCGCGGGCTTCTTTCCTGAACACTGAGCGGCTGGTGATCAAGCCTACTACGTTTTAAGTGGTATCTTTTAGAGATCAAATAAAGTTCGAGACACTCCAAGAATGGTCTCATTTAGGGGTTTAATTCAAATTTATGACGAGCATCCCCGATCTTTTCATATGGGAGTCTTCCCCCCCTCCCCCGGATTCAGATCACACACAAGACAGCCGGGAGGGTCAACAAGCTTGAGTTCACGTGAACACTGGTAAATTATACTGACTGCTTTGAGACTGGTTGTTCAATATCTTGTTGTCTTGCAACTTGAATGATTGAACCACCCAACAAAGTTTCTACAATATTTATTTTGAAACGTTCTTTTTTTAAATATATATCTCCCTCAGCACATCTGTTATTATAAAGTGGTCATTATCGTTTTTTTAAACAACCGCGACCTAATGGGTTTAACCAAGTGAAACAGCCTTCGGCTAAACACGTGTCTCAGTAAGCACAACAGTATTTTTTTTTTTTTCATATTTAGGGAGAGTTCAGTCTTCAAATTAAAGAAATCGAGGTTGAGGGGTTTAACCAAGTTAAACAGCCTTCGGCTAGACACGTGTCTTAGTAAGCACACAAGTGACCCTAAAAATGAGATTATTACGCTATATATAATTAAAACGAGGTTGGTGAAGCAAGATTTTGCGAGTAGGCGAGACCAGCGGTTTTTTTTGTATGTGTGAGCCCGAGACATTTTGACTTCTTCAATTGCGAGACCGAGACTTCAAATTAAGTGTTTTAAATGCGAGCTCAAGACGTTCAGGTTCTAAGTCGTTCAGACGTCATTTAAGCTTATATAAAAAAGGTAAACAAATTGGAACTTCGAGACTTTCTTAGCCCTGCAAAAAATCGAGATTGCAAGACGCACACAACCGCGAAAAAAAACGAGACCACGAGGCGCGTGGAATTCGACGAAACTTTTTGCGAGATCTGTGGTTTCTGGAGGATCATTCGCCAAGGCTAAAACTTTCATGTATTTTACCATAGAGCGGGAGGTATATCTTGAAATAGCCGGATGCAGCAATTGATACTTTGTGTTCTAAATATGGAAAAGGTGTCGAAGGCGTTACACGTGCCAAACGCGACAAAATTCCGGAAAGTACCACCTCCCCCTGAATTTTTTTCAGCAGCCAGTCTGGCGCGAACATACTGAGCACTGGGCAGGAGATTATATTGCCTTGTTACCACAAGTGACGAAAGAACTATTTAATTAACAATTAGATTATAAGCTCGAGATTTTTATGCAAAAATTTCAATTTGAGCAGGTCAGAGGACCCGCCTGATGTGGCCTCCTCTGTAAATATTGTAAATTATTTATGCCACCTCAAAGAAATCAATACCGAATAATATAATTGTTTTGGTAGAATTCTGACATGATGTGTCTCAAAGATCGATTTTCCAATTATTTATCTGTATATTAAGAAGAAGTTAAGTTTGCGCCTAGCAATAAAAAAGCGCGGTTGAATTGTTGGTTGAAACTTGCAGTTGTTAGATGTACTCATCAGTTCATTGAAAAACAAAAAATGAGGTTTTAAAGTTCCATTCGTTTTTAGTGTTCTTTGGAATTGAATTATCCAGTGATATTCCTAAATCTTCCTCCAAATATCGTAGAAACGAGAAAACTTGGCCATTTTATAGGCGACCTCCAGCTACTGCACACTAATGGCTGATAGAGTCGAGTAGCTCAGCCAATCAAATTAATCTACGAGTAGAATTCTACTAAATTTGATTAGACTTTAGAAACTGTTAGAATGTGTCCGCCTCGGGCGAGATGACCGCCAAAGCTCATCCTTGTTTCGGTAGCACTAAGCGACTAGGAGTATTTCTGCCTTATCCCGGATGGAATGCTAGGTCCATCGTAACTTAAACCCCCGGCATTACTGAAATTCGCCGTTACCCATTCACGCACCTGCTAGGTGGAGAGAAGTATTGCGAGAGTAGTGTGCCACGCTAAGGCTCGAACCTGGACCGCTCGGTCCGGAGTCCAGCGCGCTAATCATAAGGCCACTTCACTATCACTTTTTCAGATACAGTAAAAACCAGCGCGTAAGAACTTAGTGGTTTAAGAACCTGGCAGAAATTTCCCATTTTAAAACCCAAAAATATAAGAACCTTTTTAGCCAAGCAAGACCAAGCGGGTTCTTTTATTTAGGTTACAGTTAAATTATGAACTCTTTTCATAGAGGCGACACAACGTATATTTTCTGTAGTCAGTTGTGTTAGGCTTATGATACAATGGTGAAAAATAGCTGCACATTTAAGGACCAAACCCAAGTTTATTTATTTCTCTGGTAATCAACAACTATATCTCCTTTATAAAAACTAAGAAACTAACAAGCAACCCAAAATCCAAGATCCTATTTTGCCAGACTTCAAAAATGTAGCCTCTCACATGCTCCTCTCACATGAAGGTTTATTTCTAGAGCTTAATTTTTGCCTTCCATAATTCACACTTTCACAGGGAAACATAGACTGGAGGAAAATCGTTCATTGATAGAGGGAAAACAAAAAACATTAGGTAATGTTTGTGAATTTTATTTAGTCGCCTCACTCTCTTTTACTGCTAAGTATTCTTAATTCGTTCGAAACCCCACGTTGAAGTCTTTTGTTTATGTGGAGTATCCTGTGTTAAAATGTAAATTTATATTTTAATCAAATCTTGCGACTTTCTAGACCCAATTCCTGGCTTATTTCAAGATGTCAGATATTTATTTAACAAATAAAGAAGCCTAAGCCGTGTATTACACTGCGATAAAACACGACGGGCATTTGAGAACACGAGGGAAATGTAGAAAGCAGGAGCCGCAGGCGAGGGCTTTCTACATTTCTCCAGTGTTCTCAAATGTCCGGAGTGTTTTATCACAGTGTAATACACGGCTTAGGCTTCTTCATTTGCTTTATGATACAGAGATAATGTGGCGAAAAACAATAAAACACGCTTAGCTTTTCTATGTTTTATACTCTGATAAAACACGGGTTTTTGACCAATCAGAGCGCGCGCAGGGTCCTATCAATATTATAACACCTGTTAATGCACGGAACTGTTTAAATTACTGGTCAATTTGGAGTTGTATCCAGGGCTGTAACCCGTAACACCTGTTACGGCAGAGTATGCTGGATTTTCCCTTGATGCAACGGGTGTATGAAATTGCCTGTTGTTGATAGAATTCAGACACAAAGTAACGGCTACGGGTTTGGAGAACAACCGTTGACTAAAAACGTAACGACAGCCCTGAACTATCTAACTCAGAGAGATTCTAAAACCACTTCTATGGGATTTTGGACTTTCTTAGTTATCCTTAACAAATTCTATTATCTCTCCTGCAGCGGCTTTCACAAGTTCGAAGTCACGAGGGCACTCAATGTAAATGACCACCTTTAAACCAACACTTTGAGATCTTCTCTGGAAAATGCCTGGAAAGAACAGTTTTCACACCTGTCCTGCCGGTATGTATCAGGTTAGCCTGAGGTTAGCTATAGTGAATCGCTCTCATTGCCGAATGTATCAACTAGTCCCTCCCCCCGAGTTAAGAGTTGGAATCTATGATCTAAAATTTCAAGCTCACTTACAACTTGTTGTCTCATAGATTTAGTGCCTGAAACCATTAAGCTTAAGTCCAGAACTTATGGACCTCAAGAGATGGTCACTAATCTAGCTTAACGTGACGATGAGGAAGAATGAAATAAACTATAATACAGACAAGAAACGTAACTGTAAAGTACAAACAAAACTTAAGAGTCAACTGTATTTGACAGATGTTGACCTTCATTGTTTCGATCCAAATTCATACGTGTTTATTTCCGCCTGCAAAAGGTAGCAGATCCCTCCTCATTTCACTTCAGCGCACACGAACAAGAGCACCAGAGCAAGATTAGCTGGACAGTTTTATCCTTTTTTTGAATTTTGTCTACCCTGACTTCGGCGCCTTTGTTTGTTGGAATGCTGGAAAGTTTCATCGAAAAGGTCTTCTAAAAAGTTTAATACATTCTTAGAAACCCTACGGTTCGTCTAAACGGGTTACTTTAGCTAATACAGTACAGCATCTGAAAGAGATTTCTCTACAACGCCGACATCATCAGAATTGATTCCCTGGTGTGGTTCGCGGAGGGCTGGCTTGTTCGGGAACAATCGTGATTCTCCGAGTTGGTCCGAAGAGTTCCCTTCTCCTCAGGCGGCGCGTCGTTCAGCTCGTCGGCAGCTTGTTCTGCGTTTCTTTTGCTTCGTCTGCTAAAACGTCTAAAGCTTGATCTAGAAGATCTTGAAGAGGCAGTTATCGAATCTCCAAGGTCACGACGCGAATGTCGTTTCCGAAAAATCTGCAGCGCTTTCCTGAAGTTTTGACTCATGTAGCAATACAGAAGTGGATTGAGGGCGCAGTTGGAGAAAGCAACGAAGTATATCATGGGAGATACCACATGGGCTGCGTGTTCCGAGTATGGATAATTTTTCCGGTCGAAGTAAAACAATATAGTCATTATATTCCACGGAGTCCAGGACACCGTAAAGCTGAATATAATCGCCAGTGCTATCTTTGTGAGGCGGAGTTTAGAGTTGGAGGCATGCTTTGTCGAGAGCTTCATTGATCGCGTTTTATCGGCGCTTGCCCACACTTTCCTGCCGATATTGTAATAGACCAAGGCCATGACAACAAGTGGCATTACGTAGAATACAGTCAGAATAAGCGTTCTGTAGACTTTTGCGTACTTAAATGACCAGGTTTCCACGCAAAACTCGACGTTTTCGCCAAACAAACGATTGGGAACAGATTTTCTGACAATTAACATTGGCAGGGCAGCGATTGCAGCAACAAACCATAAGGCAATTGTAGTTACAGTAGCTATCATGGCTGTCAAACGCTTCTGCCTCGGGAGACAGACGGAAATGTATCGCTCAACAGAGATAGCTGTCAGGATCAGAATAGAGAAGTTCGTTGCCAGGTAAAACAGGAAAGAGACCAGTCGACACATGAAGTCTCCAAACACCCAATAATCAATGACGTACAGATCCACCGTGACAAACGGGATGTACAAGGAGGCTATTAAAATGTCCGCGATGCACAAGTTCAGAAGAAATGTACTTGTAGGCGTCCGCACGTTCTGTACACGTGATATGACTGTTATGACAATTCCATTCGCTGGGATTGCAAGGCAAAATAGCAGCATGTTCGCTGACACTATGGCGATCTTTTCCGAAGGAGTGTAAGTTAAGTGGTCGGTTTTTGTGGTAGATGAATTGTTAAAAGCCATGCTGTTGGACTTCTATCAGCGAGTTTCTTTGCAGTCAATATTCCCGTTATAGAGTTGTTCCTGAATTCAACTTGTTTCTGTTTCACACCTCTGTTGTCTTTTTTTTCAGTATAAACTGAACGTGGCGGGTGGTTGTGATGTAACCTAACAGAACAACGAATAAACCCAATAAGTCCTCAATTCCTGTGAATTAATTTGGCTCTAAGTTATGAATCTTTTAATGAAATACTAATATTAGTAGACCATGCAAATATAAACGAAAGCCGTTGAGTAATAATGTCCTGTGTGGTGTACAATCGCTTGTTTAGTTGCAAGCATTTTGCAAATTTAGAATTACCATATCTTTTTCGGTTAAGACTTTTAGCTGCTCTGTGGCAATGAAAACCATGTGAAATAACTCTGACCACTTACTTCACTTTAAGGGTCTATCGGTGATACGAACGTCATACCCAATATTTATTTAAAAAAATTCGCATCTCTCGAATTTCCTTGACCGAACTAATTCCCCGCAAATCAATTCTTAGCTCCGTCGACAGGTGCCTAAAACCTCTGTAAACAAATGATCAAATTTTGAAAAATATATTCAACAATTGACTTAAAGGGTAAATAATGGGGCACACTTTCAAGGGCTATAACTTAACTAAGCCGACATGAAAGTTTAAATATAGAATTAAAGAGAATTAGAAAAACTCGCCAGAAAAACACAATGAAAAATAAAAGTGATTTATACACAGTCAAACAGAAAGGTGACAGCCTGAAGTAAAGACCATTAATTAACTGGGTTGTTTTTTATATGACAAAACCGAGTTGGTTACCATTAACTACTCGGCGATGAAATCCGTGAGGTAAAGAGTATATCCATTTTGAAACTAGCAGTTAATTAAAAAACAAATGCATATTCCGAGATTCACGTCAGTTGAACTTAACAACATATTGAACCGAAGTCGCATTTACAATGAAGGATTAACAGGTATAAACGTGGTGTCAAAAGCTAATGTACTGCTCTAAAAGCCGGACGCAATTTTATCCATTAACAAAGAGCACGACATATTTCATCTCGGCCAGTGCGTGTTAGAAGTTGCGTCGCTACCTTCAGATATGCTTACGTGCATGGACAGGAAAAGGAGATAGTAAAGAACTCACGTTTCTTGAAATTCCTGATTGTTTTCTAAAACTAAATCGTCAGAAGACAGGAAAAACACGGTTTGTATTAAAATTCAGATCACGCTCTAAAATGACTCACTATCGTATATGAAGTCTTAATGGCGTTTTAAGTTTGTCAATAGGGAGGTTAAGCAACGACGACGGCAACGTTGAGGACGATGCCTTGTCAAAAAGAAATTTATACTTTACCAGCGAAATTCGCAGTTGTCTATATCTGTTCAGTACGCCAGTGGCTCTAAGAACGTGCTTAGGATAAATATGCAATGACAGCATTCAATTCCAAATGGAAATACGACAAATTGAGTAGCAGTCGTCGTTCACGTTTCTCAGAGTATTCAGATCTTGGTCATTTCACGTTCTTGTTTTGCAGAGGACGTCAAAGAAATGTACAAATATCTATAACAATTGTTTTGCTTATTAAATCTTTTGTTTGGTAACGTTCTCGTTGCTGTCTTCGTCGTGGTTTGCTACAGCTCCCTAAACAATCCTGTAAGTTGTAAGGAAACTGTTGAAGGGTTGCCATGGGAGACAGCTTTCAGGATTAAGCGCTCCCCTTACAGCGTATTAGAGCAAGAAAATTATTGCAAAAGAAAATACAATGACTATCAGAAACTGTAACATGCTTTGAAGTTCCTGAAAATTAACAGAACATTTATTTAAGTAATTATAATTTCCGATATAAGTATCTTAATTCGAAGTTAAACTAAGCCAACATTTTTGCTCACAAGTTTTGCCAAATCGTGTCTTCTCGCGTTTTTTCTACGCAAATTTGATACCTTCGATCTTGGGAACTCGGAAACCATTGTAAAGGGGTCTTATTCGGAAATAGGGATAAATGGACGGATATCTCATTCACAAACAGACTTGTACCTAGTCTCTTTGTTTTTGGGTCGAGGAGAGATTGAACACTAGTAAGGTTAAATACAAGTTTGCGCACGCTCAAATGTGTCTGGCGTGTAAATGCTTCAATATACTGAGGCATGCAAATGATTAGGCGACATCCATGAAAAGAACTCTATTGTATCCAGGATTTAAAAAAAGCCTCAAGCGATGCCATCTTAAAATAAGTTCTAAAGCTAGGGGAGTTTTGTATATGGCATCTGTGGTCACAAATGAAAAGCAGCTTGCTCAGAAGTAATCATTTAATCAAGAAATATGTTAACGCTGCGAGACTGTTCGATCCGGGTCATCGAAATCAGCATATCGATAGTATCTATTTTGAAATTATTATTGGGTACCTTTTGGGGGTTAAGTGTTACTAAGCTATAGGAGAATCTTTGTTTACAATATTTGCCTCATTACCATGAGCGATACAGTTTCTGATGGAGCTACAAAGAGATTAATACTGAATACTGAAAGGGCACAGCACGATTAACTGTCCCAAGGAATTTGAGCGCGATGTATTGAATACTTTTTGTGCGACGAGGGTTTAAAAGCTCAAAATTTTACAAAGAATGTATGAGCTCATTAGCGCTTTTGCCACACAGAAATATTGATGTTTTTGAAAGTCAATTTCTCCTCGAATATTACACCCAAAAAGCCAAACATTTCACCACTTACTAAGTTTCACAAGCTCTTTAAGTTTTTCTAGTAAAAGCTTGTTTAGCATGATGACTTCTATGCGCAAAGTCGTATGTTAATGAGGAAATATGTAAACAATGACGTCAGCAAAGATTCGCCTATAGCTCTCAATTATCGAGGTCCTGATTTTATCAAAGTCATCGAATTATCCAAGTTCTTTATCCTCATCCAGTTATGTAAGTCATCTTCTCCTGGTCCCAGTTGTTGGAAAGGTGGATAACGCTATCTACCGGATAAATCGCTATCCAGTGGATAAGTGTTGGTAAAATAAACTACACTAACCGCTGGGTAGTGATTTATCCGGTGGATAGCTTTGTTCACCTTTCGAACAACCGGGGCCTGGGGTATTTTATGGCCTGCCAAAGGTTCATAAGACTGGATAGTTTTTCCGCCTTATCGCTTCCGTGGTGAACACCTGCGATTACAATTTTTCCTCTTACCTTACTTACAAACTTCAGCCAATTTCCACCAACCAGCACATGGTTGAAGATTCATTTAGTTTTGCAGACTGGGCCAAATCGTGTACAAAACATGGCAACGAAATAATGTGCTCTTTGGATGTCACTTCTCTATTTGCAAATGTGCCACTTGATGAAACAATACATATTTGTCTCGACAAGCTGTACTTTCTTCCTGTTGCCCCAAAATTACTTCGTAGTTTTACAGAATTTATTATCGGGAATTTGCCCCTAACAAGAACCATTTTGTATTTGATTGCCATTAGTACGACCTGGAGTAGCCACTGTTTCACCTTTAGGCTTGTTTTGCTTAGCATTGTCATGTGCCACTTTGAAGAGAGATAGGTAATGAACGGCAGATTCTTTCCTTCATTTTGGTGTAGATGTGTTGATGCGACGTTCAACATAATTTGACAGAAAAGACACTGCTAATGCGCGTCTACGTTATACAAACATTTGAGACAATAGCATCAAATTCACTATTTAATTTTGACAAAACAGTAAGAGTCCCTTTTCAGACTTCTCAAACACTGCCTTAACAACACTTTTTGAGACATCCGTTTACCGGAAAATACATTAGTTCATAGGCCTCTAGAATAAATGGGATTCATTCACATCTCACAAGTACAAAACCAATCTCATTCGCACGCTCATCTGCCATCGCATCCAAATTTGCTCCTCGCCATCATTATTGCAAGCCGCTCTTAAAGATTTTAGAAAGTTTTCGCTGCAAAATTTCACTCAAGGTTTCACTCAAGATGTCATGACTTACAACGATGTTTTGAACATAAACAAAAACATGCTAAACAACCCAAACTGTTCCTACAGTTTTCCAAAAAATATATTGTAATCCGGTTACGTTACTTAGGGATTCATGGCAGCTAAATCATTTAACGTCTGAAATCCTGTGTAAACAACTGCTACTCTTAGCTTTCGTCAATCCAGAACACTAGGTTCCAGACCCCTAAACGATGTAAATGGTTCTTCAAAGACTCTAACCGTCACTTTTGAAAATGTAAGTTGCCTAGGAAACGAAACTTTTTGTGTTATTTTTGTAAGTGACGATGTATCTTAACGAGAGTTTCTTATGATATCGACGTCACGCGTAAAGTTGGGTTATGTAAGACCTTGAAGGCATTGCTTAACCGATTTATGGACTCAGATTATAATTATGGATTGGATATGGACTTTTTGTCTGTCCGAACTACTTCCTTAGACAATACGTTTTGTCAGCTTCGTTTTTCTGAAAATTAACAGAATGAGCTCAGTTCTCCAATCGAGAAAACAAGAGTCACCGGATTGGGAACAAAACAAAGATAAGGGCAACGATAAAATATGAAATGTCGATCAAAAGGTGTTCTTGACTGTCTTATTGAGACGTCACTGACTCACTATGACAAGACTCGTATCAGTGCAGCACCTTTTCTAGTATTTATTTTCCTTTTGTCTTTGTTCAGCTGACAAGCTGAAAGTTGTTGAAGTCTCAGTCAAGTCTCTTTAGCTCAAGCCATGTTTACACTAAACCGGATATCTTTTGTGCCAACGCAAAAACCATGTCAAATACACCTTTGGTCATAAATCTTTCATACGCCGAAACCCTACGAGACTTTCTCCAGTTTCTTCATAACAGAGAAGCAAATACTTTGTAGTAGCTGGGTTTTTGTGTTGCTTCGATAATAGAGTGTTCACACGATACCGAATAGGTCTTGACTTTTCAAGAGTTAGTGGAAACGCCTATGTCGGCCCAATCGCGTGAAGTCCATCTTATATCTAAATTCGAAACACTAGTCGCAGCCAAAACCTGGCTGAATAATATGCAGACTCGAAAACAAGGAATCTTTGTACAATTATTGGCAATAAATTAAAAAAGCCAATTTCCAAACGGCACTATTTTGCAAAACCCTTATCTTGTTTTTTGGCTCCTTTGAAGCCGCCATACTGATTAATTTAAGCACATGTTTGAAACAGAAGGTAGAATTTGAAAAAGTTGCAAGAAATACCACGACGAAGTCATTTTCAGTGAGATTTTGTTGGTTCAAGTCGATCTCGCTTCTCGAAATTGAACCGTTTTGCTATATAGAAAAAATGCAGATTCACTTTTGCAAATGTCTCTATCCATTCAAGTTAATCCAAGCGTTTGTTGTGCACGAAATGGCTGACACGAGATTGTACAGCGAGATTAATTACCGGCTTTAAAAATGAACAATAGCGTCTTTCATCATAACGGCTTACCTCTTGTTCGGCAGAAAACTGTGCTCGCGTTCTCCTAATGATATCAATGTTGGCGTCGAGCGAGATGGAAACACTGAGCCACGTTTTTTGTGCGGTACTTGTGCGGTACGCGTGGCGAGCATAAAATAATTGATTTCAATTATTTTTTTTAACCTGGGGCTAAGTGGTATGAATTTTCCATAGACTACGTGTTTACTATTGTTCAATTTATCACTGTGAAAGCTGTCAGTTTCTATGAGAGAAGACACTTAAGTCAGATAATTTCCTATCGAGATCTCTTTTCATATTGAAATGATTTCGTACAATGACTTTTTGCAAAGGGTCGAAAATCAATGTGTAATATAACATGTATTTAGAAGGTCAAGAGCCTCGCTTTCAAAACGAGAATGTTGCGTCCTGTAGCCATATTTAATACCAGTAATAATTAGTCAATAAATGGCGACTATAAGACATTGATCATTTTTCATTTAATTTAGTTCTAACGTTTAGCCCGAGTTTATAATCAAATTTATTGCTCAAAACAACTCAGCGCAGTTAGCCCTCTTGAAAAGTTTTATTGCTGAGGTCTAAGATAACTATGACGTGGGAAAAACAACCAGTTATCTTTATATCTAGATGTTTAAAATTCTAGACTGTAACAAATCAATTAAAAAGTACGTAAATGAAATGACAGTACGTCGTAGAGATGTTAATAAATAAGCTTAATGGTTGAAGGTTTGCCAAACTTAGACAGTTTCTCATTTGAGACTGAATTATGCGATGCTGTTTAAGATTTCGTTTCTGCAAGAAATACAAAAATTATCAAGCAAGCAAGTTTTTTTGCTCTATTTAGTAAGTGACGTTTAATTATTTCATAGAAAACGTTTTTCAAAGAATCGGAAGTGATTTAAGGTGATAACTGCCAAGCAAGTACAAAGCAAATTAATTTACATCATGCTACAATGGTTTAGCTTAAAAGGCAGTGAAAGCGCTTGCACTTGTCACCTAAAACAAATTTATCCCTTTAACATTTTGTTTAAAGCTGTGAACTTTTTCATTAGTTAACCTTAATGTTTACATCCTTCAGACTTATTCAATGACTGAAAAATTATCGATCCCTATTATCAAAGTCCTGTTTTCGTTTTGCTTTACCAAAAACTGAAACAAATCTTGATATTGAGTAATAAAAATGAGAAAACTAAAAAATACAATAGTTGCTATGTTTTTTTGGAATAAATCTCCCAAACAGGTTTAACATAGATAGGCAACTCCTGAAAGGTTTTCATTATTACTAATCTGCGAACGAACCAATCATATTTGTAGGAAGCTTGGCAGTTCGGTGTTGGTGTAGTCAATAAAACATTATTAAAAACACAGGCATTAAATAAAGAGCCGAGCTTCATAACGTAATCTAAGAAAAGCAGCACAAGTACAGCTTATATCACACTGATTGCAAGTATTACAGAAACTAGGGGGCAACAAATGATGCAATCTTAATTCAGAAATGGTTAAAAAGGAAAAACAACGTTCTTATCCAGTCAAGATCACGAACAGTTTATCCTGTTTAAATAGAAAGGCTGACTCTTTGTTTACAGCACTTTGGCAGCGTAATTGTCGCCCGATCGAATTCCTGTTTGATCAGTTGAGGAAATATCTGAACGTGTGCTTTTTAGCACATTGTATTCAGACTTCGTATTTTTATTAGGAATAACGAATCATGTCGAACATACGAGATGTTATAACTTTCATGTTTTTTTTTCCAAGATAACTGGAATTAATCGTTTACTTATACTACACATGCAAAAAGTAATCAAATGAGAATGATAACAACAGAAAGATTTCCTAGTAAGTTCAACCATGAGAGCAAAAATTTGGTGTCCGAATTGTATCAGCTCTCAAACGTCGAACATACGAGATGTTATAACTTTCATGCTTTTTTCGAAGATAACTGGAATTAATCGTTTACTTATCTTTATATGAAGAGAAACAACCGAAAACTAGGAGACAAGGCATTGCACCGCCTTATCTACACATGCAAAAAGTAATCAAATGAAAATGAACAACAGAAAGATTTCCTACTAAGCTCAACCATGAGAGCAAAAATTTGGTCTCCGAATTGTATCAGCTCTCAAATTGGTGGAAATAGTCGAAAATGTGCAATCGCTCAATTTTGTTTTTGCGCCTAATCTGCTAAAGCATAAATGATATTGAGTGATGTAAAATACATTGAACTTTCAATCTTTTCAATTTTTTCTTACCCAAGCGAGCTCTACAACATTTGTACTGTTCGTCGACTTGCAAGGTGAACTTCGTATGCAAAGAGTTATCTCTTTGCCTTCCGCTAGCTGCTAATGTGACGCTTTAGAAAACTCCTAATGACCAAAAACCTCGTTTGGAAGCTAAAATACTGTCTGACCGTGTACTTGAGAAAAAAAAGGGGCAGGTGAAATTGATAAGCCAAAAACAACCCCAGAATCCTATCCGATGCCAATGTCAAAAATATAAATAAGCCATTCGTGTTGACGTCATAAAGATATTTCATTTCATTGAGCGATTTGGCTCCTCGCAAAACATGACGGCAATTTCTATCTTGGATAATTAACATGTGAGTCACGTTACGTTCAGCAACGCAGAAAGTTACAGAATTAGTGAATGTGGGGATTTTGCGAACTTGATTGGCAGAAAAAAAAAACCGAAGCATTAATACTTCCAATTTTATGTGGTGAATAATTAACATGCACTCCAGTTTGTAGATGTGTCTACAGTTTTAAATATTTAAACTTCCCTCACGAGAAAGAGAATAATAATGAAAATTCAGGAAATTTAGGCTGTGTTAAGATGAAAGTTGAACAAGCTAGCTCATGCATGTTTTGAGATTGACAGAATTGGTCTTGCCAACGAAGAATTAATTGTTGAATCAACATTCAGTATCTATGGGCGATTTTTCTGATGATAATCAGAAAAATGCAGACAAGGTCCGTTCAACGTTTTACAAGTTTTAAATCATGTAAAATTTAAGTTTTTGTCACATAGTAGAAATGTGCTTATAATGCTATAAAAAATATATATTTTGGGAAGACTGAAGCTGCTGATAATGACCTTATGGCAATTTTGTTGTTAGTAAACGCTCTTAGAACTTATCAATGGAAAAAGATGAAATGTGATTATGGTCAGTTCATTGGTTAACGGGGAACAAGAGATTGATCTCATCTTGAAAGGAGCGTAAATAAACAGGTCGGTGAAGCTACTTGGCGAAGATCTTTTTTCTAAAAGTGATAGGAGTTTAAGGTCGTTGTATAATGCGTACCCCATGACTAGACTAAGATATTAGCCTTAATGGTTTTTGGATATTACACTGGGCAAAAAATATATTAGATATAGGGGTAATTGGCTTAACTGTTCTAGGATATCGGCGGTCCAGATATTCCAAATTACCTATATCGCTAACTTCTTCGCTGCCGTGTATAAGATTTTCACCTCGAGCTCAAATGAACTCTTAACACTGAAAATTGTTTAGCTCTGATGCTGATGCATTGCCAATCTTTGTTGCAAGTAAACCTGATGAACAGATGGAATTTGGCAAACACAAATTTGGCCACAGCTTACATGTACATTACATTTCGTATACTCGATCTGTAAATTAAAATTTTAATTTGGAGTAGAGATTACTCACTGATAATTTCTCCCACAAAAACGCAAAGCCAAAACTTGATGTCAAGAGATTTTTATTATTTTTGGCCATAAAAATCTCTGATCTGCCGAGCTGGCATGTATTTTTTTAATCTATGTGTTATGTGGCACAGACAGCTTTCAGGAAGAGACCTGAACTCGTTGAAATACATGTGAATATATTGCCAGAACATTGTAATAAAAGGCTCGTATAGTATATAGGCAATATTTAACACGAAGACTGTCTTACATGTAGATTAAGACTTTGGCAAAATTTCAGAGCTGGAAGTCAAACTTCTGTGAGATCGATATTGTAATGTTTTTATCCTTGAAATTTTGAACCATCGTTACTTCAATGTCAATTCATTAAATGTTTGGTTTACGACTGCCAAAGGTTTTGGAGTGTCTTGAAATTATATGGAAATATACAGCACAGCGATCTGCCTTTAAAGGGGCTCTGGAACATTGTTTTAGCCACTAAGAGAAAGAAAAAGAAAACGTACCATTCTTCTTACCAATATTGGAAGACGTTGACATCAAAGACGTCAGTAGGTTCTGCCCTACAAACTAAACAGATGGCCGACTGTTGAAAGTATCACGCTCTTTTATATGCGGCTAGATCCTTCAACATAAAATTTTGCAACTGTCTATCTAAAATAGGAAATTGGTTTTAAGTGTGTTTACATTGATTTCCGTACCCTCAAACTGTCCATTTCCAATCTGAAAATAGAATCGGTAATAGAATAGAAGCTTTTATACGTAATTGGAGTCACTTTGATGTCATCGTTTGACGATTTGCGCCAATCTGGGGAGAGGTTTTAAGAAATGTGATTGTCATAACCTAGACAGCTACATCGATTGGATGTGGTCTGAGCTGAGAAATTTTGTAGATTTTTCATGAACGGCAGATAAACTCTCAGATACCAGTAGGTAGGAACCGGATAAACGTCGCAGCTATCAACTATAATTGAAAAATACAAAGCAAAACTTGCAACTTTCATCTTGAAATGAACTCAAATGAACCATTCAAGGCTCGCCACGATAGCAAAATATTTTATTCTTATCTCCTGTTGGAAAAAAATTGGAAATATAATTATAATTTCAGAGTATATACGTGAACAGTACCGGATATTTCTTTAAGTATTGTTAGCTTTAAAAAAAAGAAGAGAATAACACGAAATTATATCCTACTGAAAAAGCGTAATTTTTTAAATTTTTACATCTAGTCCTGGATTTAAGAGTACTTTTGGCAGTCAGACATGCTGTGGAAGTTGATTCAACAACTCAGATGACAAATATATTTATTCGATCTGAATTCCAATTTTGGAAACGAAAAACATTATTTGGTGATTAAATAATTTACACTGCCCAAACTTGTAATGCTTAAAATGGAATGACTTGAGTTTGATCTGAACACTGACTATGCCGCAAAAAGCAGAAATGTAGAAAATAATTTCAGCAGTTTAATTGCTTCGTATGGAGTGTACAGAAAAGTTATAAACTACCCGGCTTGTTATTTGAAAAAGTGTCCTCGAGCAATGAGGAAATTTATATGAAACAAAAATGCTTGCAACAACCTGAGGAGGTTCCATATTTCATGGCAGCTATATCTCACCGTTTAATAAGAATGTTATCACTACTGCAATCAGTACGGCACTAATTGAAGTAAAACGTATTAATTAAAAATTTTAGAACACCCTTTTGCATTTCATGTATTTTTGTCATTATTATTTTTTTATGATAGGCCTCGTCTCTCTTCGGGAAGTTTTCTCTTATTTTTAAAATAACGATTCAGTACATATGTGTGCCTAACAGTTAAAGTATCCTGTGGAGGTCTCCGACGGCGTTTTTCTAAATGTTTTTGCAATTGCTTGCGGTTATTTTTTAAAGAATGTTTTAATGTATGAGACTGGCTATCCTTCGGAAAGATTATTCGATAAAACGGGTGGTAAATTGTTGATTATAAAATCTACCACGGCGGTAAAAACCCGTCTACGAACATGCCATCTACCATTTTTAAAAACTATTTTCCTTCTTTCAAATGACTTTGTACACTCAACACTTGTATAATTTAGGTTTTCAAACTTCACTCAATTCTTAAAGAGATCTTGGTTTTCCGCGAACTTAATTAGCCACTTGGCTTGAAATGAAAGATTAGCAAAGCTAGTGACGCATTTGTGTTGAGATGTTTGATTCCAATTAATTTTTCTTCTCTAGAGCATACACCTTCGCACGAAACGTGAAAAATTCTAAATTGAAATAGTTTTGATAAATATCAATGCCCTATTTTTCTTTTCATCGTGGAATCCCATATCAGCCCTAGAGATNAGTTTTCTTCAAACCCCAAAATCGCTGCATACTGCAGTAAGTCGTACCAAGTTTTAAACGCAGAATGTCTTTCAATAAGCACTTTTGCGGTAACATCAAGGAAATTTTCCGCACTCTCGGCGGTTATAAGAAAACGCATCCCTTCGATTCGAAAAATACTCATCAGCGGTCTTTCTTGGAAAGAAGCACATTTTATCATGGTCACTTGTCCAGTAAGAAGCAATTTTCAATGGTAGATAGCGCGATTCTTTTCTACGTTTCATCTGGCCGCTAATGTTCCGTGTCGAGGAGTACGTTACTGACATGGAAAGCAATACTTCTCCACGCCGACGCCTTTTAATGTCATTAAAAACCCAACTCCTTTCTGAAGCCGCAAGTGTATTGTCGGCCGCCGGTTGATCCTTGCCGTTGGATAAGTTTAAAAAGAACCGCTACAGTTAAAAGCCAAAACAGAGAAAGCAACGGCTTTGGCAGAATTTTTAAAGGTTAAAGGGAGAGAGCATTTTGGACGTCCGTTTGTAAATCAAAACAATGTCTTGGTCAAAAGTATGTCAAGACAGTTAAATATACTTCAAGCGCTAAAATTGAGTCTGATGTGTCTGAACATCTATAGCGGTGAAGATGGAAAGAAACCGTGTATTTTAAAACAAATCTCAGCGTCTATCTCTTATTGTGACTTCAACAAATTGAATAAAAAAAGAGATAAAATGCTTATATTTATAATTGGCTTTTGACGATATGACGAAGGAGACATCAAGTAAGTCTTTTATATTTACTTTTCAAACTTATCAACCACCGGAGGTCTCCCGTAAGCCGTATCTGCCTTATTTATAAATCGTATCAGCCAACAACACTGGTATTGACTTGAAGTAGCAATAACAACCTACTTCAATCCAATTTGAAACGAATATATATTTTTAGACATTTCGGATTGTTACTTTGTCAATTAAGTTGAAGCTTTGTCTGCCTTTAGAGGCCGCTATCAGGATATTTTTAAAAGTTTCCGTGAGTGTAGCAACTGTATTTTGCCACAAGGAATGTCAATACTTTTAACTCCTAATTTCCTTAAGAGGCTATCTTCTTATCGTCGGCAATATACACGGAAAATGACCGTCGAATTTAATCCGCGATTTATCCGAATGGCGTTCTAACTTTTAGGTTTCTGAATGAAACATAATTGTGACCGCTCAGTTTTAAAGCTACAAGACTAGATGTATTTTCATGCGGTACTCAGTGTTTATTACATGTTGTGCGTTCAAGGTGGCTCTAGCGGCCTAGTCTGTGAATTTAACTCTAATGTGTGACCATTCAAATGAAAGCTTTTGATCAGTACTTTCATATGGCTGTTTATTATGCTGTACAAGGTGGTTATAACCTTTAAGTCTGAGGATGAAAACCTAGTGCGTGACCATTCAAATGAAGAGCTATTTTTGAGCAATACTTTCATATGGTACTGTTTATTATGCTGCACAAGGTGGTTCTAACTTTCAAATCTGTGGATGAAACCCTAGTGTGTGACCATTCAAATGAAAGCTATTGAGCATTACTTTCATGTGGTACTGTTTGTTATGCTGTACAAGGTGGTTCTAACTTTTAGGTCTGTGGATGAAACCCTGGTATGTCACCATTCAAATGAAAGCTATTGAGTAGTACTTTCATGTGGTACTGTTTATTATGCTGTACAAGGTGGTTTTAACTTTTAACTCTGTGGATGAAACCCTAGTGTGTGACCATTCAAATGAAAGCTGTTGAGCAGTACTTTTATGTGGTACTGTTTATTAAGCTGTACAAGGTGGTTCTTTCTTTTAACTCTGTGAAATAAACTCAAGTGTGTGACCTTTCAAGTAAGAGCTATTTAGCAGTACTTTCACCTATAAGTACTGTTTTGAAGTCTGTGATGAAGCCTTTCTATTTTAATTTTGATATACTACAACACGTTTGGAGGGGGGGGGGGAGTTCTCTCTTGAGTTTCAGAGCGGAGCTTTGACGTCGTTGACAGTGAAACTGGCTATTGTCAAACGCGATGTAAACTCTGTGGATTTAGTAGCAAAACGACTCTTTCTTTCACGAAGTTCGCACGTATCTTTGACAACCAAATTATTCGTCGAGGCATCTAGACTGAAAGGTTTTTAATAACTGGTATATCATATCTGCAGTGTCTAGATGAATTTAAGAAAATTGTTAATATCTTCAGCGTCAAATTATGTGAACATATTGAAACAAAGATCTTCAAAATTTGCAGGGTCGTTATTCTTTTAAAATGTGAAAATATTTTACCCCACAAAAGAAATAACTTTTGACAAAAAAAAAAACAAAAAAAAAAACAGCAGCAACAATAACAACTTTGGCCGCAACTGAATTGGATTAAGAGACTACCAAAGTTTTGAGTAAAAAGACACGGTTTCGTTAAACCCAATTAACGCGCTGGTGAAGTTTGACTTGAATGCTTTCCTTTGAATCGTTTACAATTCCACTCACCTTAGAACATCAAGAAAGTTCGTTCACAAGTTGTTTCTTGATAAATCGCTGAAGGTAGATATATCTTGACCGTACCGTCTTGGCGCGAACTCGCTCGGCCTGTTCACGGACGCGAGATGAAAATGTTTACCGTAGTTTTAAAGTGTTAGTTTTTATATAAACATACTCATATGCTAATCAATTGCCCCTCTTAAAATGCAAACATATCAAAAAGGCGGTCGAAAAACCTTTCCGTCAAGAGAAACAATTGTCAAGATTTATCTTCAGTTGTAGATATATGTCATGTCAGCCCAGTAATACCTAATTGCAATTGTCGATCTTATTTAAACAGAACTTCTAAACCCTTCTGCACGTAAAGGTGCAGTGCCAGAATTCACGCTCTCTTGTTTTATAACATAGTTTCCGTGATAAATTTTTGCATCATTTAGCGACGTGACTATCGCGTTTGGTAATGGGACTGAATAATAAGAGGTAGCGAATACTCTTTCAATTGCATCTCTTACGTTTTCGTGGTATTTCATATCTCAAATCAAATTTCCCATGTAGAACGTAAAATAATCCTTCATAAAAGGAAATAACAGAGTGACTTAAAAAAATACGTCGTAGAGGCTTTACAAAATTAAGCTGTATTGTCTTCAAGGCTCTTAAACCTTTCCAGGAGGCAACGAATTTTTTTTGGCGAAACGAGGTTGTATTAAAAATATTTGGCACGCTTTCATAATTTCATTCGCCTTATTTAGAGTTTTGAGGGGGCCGAGGTTTTTTCTTGTTTATGCTGTCGAGTCTTTGGGGCAAATTAAATTAGATGGGTTATTTTTTCCGTTTGAACGTGATTCCCAATCGGTTGCTGTATATATTTTCCTCTTTTAGCAGCATTTCATAAAGAAATAATTTCCATTTACAAGACTGAAAAAGTTCTCTACTTTTAAACCGTCACTCTTCAACGACCGCGCGCAGTAAACGTTTTAAAAAAAAGACAGTTCTAGGATATTGTAATTTCTTTGACGTGTGTAACTACGTGGAGTATTATTTCATCACCACACAACTATCTGAATTTCATTTTTAAGATTGGAAAGTCAAGTGTCCGCTATGGGCAGAGTCGATTTACTTTCTTAGTGGATGTAGCTCGTAGAAACATCAGCCTTGCTCTGATGTTCCTTATCGCTCAAGCCATCATGGAACCGAAAGAAGTTGTGAAAATATACTCCATCGTGCAGAATGGATCTTAAATAATAACCTCAAAACATTGAAGAATCACCCAGTTTTGATTTAACAGGTACAAATGCCGGATTTGAATATAACAAAGTAGACTGCGCGTCTTCC